TACAAGAACACAAGTATAAACACAACGCGGCAGTAAAGGCGGAGTAGTGAGTAGATAAGTCTGTGTTTTAATGTCACCGACAACCTCTGTGGTCTCATTTAGCCACTTGTTAGCAACTGCCTTTTTAAGACGTTTAAGATTCACAGGTGGGGTATTTACTGATGTGTTTTATGTCGTGGAACAAAACATGAAAATCTGATAAGCTGTAAGTACAGACCTTATTTTAGGTATCTTACCATAAAAAAAACTTGTTTTAGAGCTCTCAATTTTGCATGACCATTAACTTGTGACATCATGCTATTCAAGGGCGACTGCCCCCTCGCTCTGGGTGTCATGCTTGTATGTAACCTTGACCTTTGTTCACATGGAAATGGCCACTGTATTTTATTCAGTAAGCCCAATACAATGTCCTGCTGTTGGAAATACTCACCTAACTAACAAATCCTTTTATAAACCCAAACTGTAATTATTCTAATGCAGAAATGTCCAGAAGATATTTAAGACTACAATAGGTAGTGAATTTGTGCAATTTTTTTCCTTCCACAAGCCATATTTTTAAGAAGTTGTGTTTCTCCAGGATGACAACGTAATGTTATGGGAGTTACTGTTGTGTTAGGCTGCTGGAATTGGCAGTGTTCTGAATGTTAATAAAACCTAACTTCTGTAGTCTGTTCCCATGAGAAGTTGGGGTAGTAAAGTGTATCAGGTTACCGCATGTTTGTGTGGTTGGGTACGAGTGATTATGTGGTAAACTTTTCCTGGCCTTGATAGTGTCGTTGATTACATTACACAAGTGACAGAATTTGTTTTAGACCATCTTAATCATGGAATCCAAAAAGTGCAAGTGGAAGCAACAAATTGCGAATTGCATCGTTTTTTGAGTATTTTTAAATTACTGATTATTTTTTTATTATTTCAAATTGCATCAAATACAGAGTAAGAACAAAAGTCAAATTGTGTGAGAATAGAATAAAAGAAAGAAAATATATCAGCAACCTCACCAGAGAAGAAGCTGCTGGTGTGTGTTCATGAAGTGTCAGGGGTTCGGTTGCACCCATTGGCTTGTGAATTGTACAAAGACACACAAAAAAAGAGCAAAGAAATTTGCATTTATGCTAATTAAACACACCCATAATGCGTGACAGACAGGTGCATGTAGGCTGTAGTGGGCTCTGTTTTAAAGCTAGAGTTAAGATACTGGTATCATATGAAACTCATATGGCGTGTTGGCAACGGAAAAACTGGCATGGCTATTTTCAAGGGAATAACTTGACCACTGACTTCAAGACATCTGAATAAAAATGGGTTCCATGGGTTCCACAAGTCTCTCCTTTGAAGACACCTCCACTTGATGCTAAGTCCAGCTGCAGTTTTTGGCCAACAACTTTGCAGTTTTTTGGGTGGTATAAATGTGTTATTTTCACCTAGTGTATTTGAATGCAGACTGTGGTCCATAAACAGTGTTGGAATTGTATAAATTGGGAATGACTGGAAAGTTGAGACATATACTTAATGCCACCCCTGCATAAGTCAGTGCCCCATTTGTGCCACCCCAGTAAAAAAAAAGTCTAGAAATGCCCCTGATGCTGGGTCTGACAAAAATACCCATGGTGGATCCTCAAGCTGCAACTTCTAATACCTTCCATTAGCTGTGTACAGCCTTTCTGCTGCTTTTGACAATCCCTGTTACAAAGTGTGTTTCCATGCAGTGCTGGAATCTGTTCATAAAAAGCTGGAGTGGAAATAAAAAAATATTGCAAAAAGGTTTATGCGCTTGACTGTGGTGGAAATGTTACGGTATCAATTAAAAAGTAAATGTGACAGCAATGGATATTTCTTAGCAAATAGGCTAAATCATGACAGACATGAAGCATGTGAATAATTTGTCACTCAAGTTTCTGTTCCACTAAAGAGGAGAAATACAGCAGTAGATAAAAACATTACATATCTTTAAAGTGATGAGGAAACTATCTTGTTCCAACCTCTTCCAAGACCACCATAAAATGTGCAAAGAACACTCTAAAGAATCTAAATAAGCTTTTAAATGTAATTATTTATACTACTGCTTTGCCTCCTCGCCCTTTGCAGTGTGTCACTGCAATTCACCATCATCATCTGTTGATACATCTTAAGGAGAATTTGGAAGTCATTGGTTAGGGTTAGTGTGTATCTAACGAAAGTGTTGAATGCATTCCGTTCCTCATAAAACATCAATTTCTCATCAATATTTTAAATTCTGCATTACATACATCCCTGTTTACAAGCTCTCAGTCCTCTTCTTCACTTCCTTTGTCGGAGTATTGCTGTGTTTCTTGGCACATTACAGCCACCTGTCGATCACTAGAATAGTGTGAAACCAATGGCAGGACTGTGTATCTCATCTGCATGGACTGTTTTCTTAATCCTGCCCCCACCTGCTCCAGCTGGATTTGGATTGACCGTTACCGCCCACTCCTGACAATGTGTGTGTTCCAGATCGCCCATTCCTGCTAGATGGACCCGGCGGCGCCAATGAACATGGTGTGGTTCAGTCTAGTTCAGTAATAAGAGGACTTATGTCTGATCTGTTCATGTTGCGTTTCTTTAACTTTTACTTTCAAGACAGTGTGATCATTGACTCTCACACAAAGGAACTAATTTCGACAATATTTGTTTCTTGAAAATCCTACAGTTTATTTTTGGACCGCCCACTTCTGCTCGCAGCAAACTTAAACTACTCCGCTCCACCCCCACAAGATTTGTGTTGTGCGGGATCCCGTTCCCAATGCAGTCCTCACAGCATAATTTAATCTGTATGCTGCAAATAAAATGTTACAACAGCACATTTACAAGACCACATATACAGTATAGCACATAACATTAATTCTACTTTGTGATCCATTTAATTTGATTCCTCATCCATGTGGGGGTTCATGTTGCTTCAATGTATCTTTGACCAGTGGATACTTGCATGTATCTTTGAACAGTTTTGGAGCTGGAAAGTGGGACATTGATGTGTTGTGTAATGGTACGATGCTACTCTGTGTTTCCACCAAAAATGATTGCATTTGTATGCTGCTGGTGTGTTTACGAGTTCTTCTAATTCAAAACTCAGATCAGACTCACCACTATCTTTACTGGAAATAAAATTAAAGTTAGATAAAATGTTGCAACCAGTCACCGTCAGCCCAACAATTGGCTGATAAATTTGCACATGCGTGTGTATCCCCCCTTTTTTAATCTGAGTTAAAAATAGTTAAATTTTGTTGGATCTGAAGTTGTATTTATCATAGTCCCTGTAACATTCAACATCATGACCCTCAGTTTACGTTTATAACACTACTATCTAGTGGTTGGAGGTTTAAACACAAAAATCAATTATTTTTGGGGGGAAAATCAATACAATATCACAAACAAAATATTGCGGTATAATATTATTTTTTCTTATCCTACTAATGGATCAGTATGTTGTGGCATTAAATGAGGACTCATTCTCATCTTCCATGTGCTTACATTTTATTATTATTATATAAGACAAAGAACATCTGTAAGTTGTATCTTTTTCAATGGTCACATGCAGTTTAAACATGAGCATTAACACCAGTCTCTCCCCTCCTGTGCAGGTAATGATTGGCTTGGTTGTTTCTTCAACCAGAAACCAGCTGTTGATGGTGTCAAATCTGAACAGTGATCAGGCCATTCACAAAGAGAAGTGGGGTCAGAGTTGAGTGGTTCAATGTTATATATTATTTTTTAGAAAAGACAAAGATTACTTGAAATGCGAGCACAGTGTGAATGTCACAGGTGAATCACACACACACACATTCCAGCCAATTCTTGGCGCAACAGCCACCTCATTATTGCCTCCTTTTCCCTGTGGAGCAGTGCAGCTAAGCATCTCTCCATTGTAACCAGTGTAACTGCATAATGCTAGTCTAATAGCTAATTTCACCTTTAATTAAACGTGCTAGATAGCAGCAGAGGCTGAGTCTGGCCTGAAAAACAAGGGATAAAGTGATAGAGGACAAAAACCCTGGAGAAAACTACATGAACAGGTCACTGCGAAGTCCACATGAAACAGAAATCAGAGGGCTGTTTGTTTCCTTATATTTAAGTGTTTTCTGTAAAAACAGTTTAAATTGGTGCTCAATACGACCAGGGATGTGATCTTTCATTTCATCTCAACTTTGATGTCCAGCAGGAAACAAAGTGGGAAATACGTGATTCAAAGAATTGCTAGAATAATTTTATTGCAATGTACTTTTACTGTCCATTATCTGAGTATCACGGCAATATGATGTGGAGGTATAGATTTTGGTATGCTCAAAATATGTGTGTGCAAACAAATTGCAAAAGGAGAGGATGAGGAGAGTAGGGGATTAAGTATAGATGAGGTGATGGAGATGAGAGAGAAGGATGAAGGAGAACAGAAGAGGAGTGAGGCAGGGAGGCTTGTTTCCTTGGAGGTTCAGTACCTGTCATGGTGTGCTGAGTTAAGTCTCACTAAAAGACACACACACCAACACACACACACACTCTGGCATCAGAGGTCTTTGCCTCATCTCTGAGCGTGTTCCTCATCTTTCTCTCTCTTTCTTCCATAAGCCCCTGCTTGCTTTGTGATGTTTCGGGGACATGTGTGTGCATGTCTCTCTTTGTCTCATTACAACACACACACTCCGCTCAGTGTTGGCATTACTACTGATGGATGTGTCCACATGAACGTGCATTTACACTGGCATGTATAGTGCAGTGTGTATGTTTGTATTTCCACGCACTCGCTGGCTCGCACCACGCAGCAGCTTTCCCCTACTGTAGCTCATCTGCTCAACCCACACCAAACGGATCCCTTCACACACACACACACACACACACACACACACACACACACACACACACACACACACACACACACACACACAAACATACACACACATATAGCTCGCCTTCCTTCTCCGCTCTCTAATGCCCCCTCCTCCTCTATCTCTCCTTCTCTCTCTCTCTCTCGCTCTCTCTCTCTCTCTCTCTCGCTCTCTCTCCATCTCAGTCTCTGGCTCAGAGCAGTTCGTTCGGCAGAGCGGTATAACAGAGTAGAGTGTGCGTTTGCTGTGCCGTGTGTGTGTGTATGTGTGTGTCCAGAGCATCGTTCGCAGTGAGAAAACGGAGAGAGAGAGAGACAGATAGAGAGGAAAAGAAAGAGAGAGACATCCAGAGGCAGGACTGAGCGGACTGAGAGAAAGCAACACTCCTCACCACCGTGAGTACTGTACTGTATATACATGCTTTTCTCCATTCACTCACTAATGATGGAGCTGCTTCCTAACTAACTGCTGGTGTGTGTGTTATACAGCAGTCAGGTGGACACTGTACACAGTAGCCAGCAGGAGTACAGTAGAAATGCACAAGAAGATGCACAGTATCACTTTGCAATTGTTGGCTGGGGTCACATTGTGTTCCTCAGTGTGCAGACTGTGCCATGTGAATGAGTGTGTGTGTGTTTAAGTGATCATAAATGTATCCGGAAAGTGTAGATGCGTAGAGGTGGGCATCATACTGACTCACACATAGAAATACTAGAGAAATAAGAGTTGTTTGTTCAGTGCTCACAAAACCTGCGCCTAAACTCACAGATATGCTTGCAATGCAAATTTCTTTTTCATGTATTTGTGTTTTTTCCGCAGGCACTTCTTTGAGTTTTGTGTGTGAAACGTATTGCATTTTGATTGGAACTATGTTACTTAGATCCTGCATAAGGTCTTTTTTCCCACCAGACGTATATGGACCTTTCACAATGAATGAGTTTGCAGACCAACATACACACTGCTGACAGGACAATTCCACAGTGCGGTGTGATTTACTTTTTTTTGTCCTTTTGCCATCTGCTCTTGTCCTGAGGGGATGTTCCTTCATTTCATTTTTATCTCTTACATGCAAGTGTATTAGTAACATTTTTGCACACATAGGTCTAATCTGTATTCTGAACTGAAACAACGCAGGGCTTTTTTGAGTGGTGTTTCCCAGCGCTGATCCACAAACGTATCTTCACTCCCCACACTCAAACCAGAGGAAAGGCTGGAGTCAGTTCCTGTAACAGTCTCTCCACAGTGAGATAAAATTGGTTCATTTTAGTGTTTCCACTTCTCTTAGGGAGTGTTAAAAGGGAGGACTGTAGAGTATACCAGGGGCGTATTGTATTGTATTAAATGCAGTGTTGATGCTGAGGACAGCATAGAAAAGAGGTTAGGAGGGGTGACGAGGAGAGAACTAAAAAGAGGGATTATGATAACTTCTGAAAAAGAAGGATTATGATAACTGCTGCCGTCCCCTCTTTTTTTCCTCTTCCTCACTCTCAGTAATTATTTCTGGAAAGCCACTTTCTTTCTGTGGCTTTTGTCAGCTCGTTTTTTCTTCGTCAAACGCCATAAAGTCAAAATGAGCCGCACTTAAATGCTACCGCAGAATTGTGAAAATTGTTTTAGAACAGCGTGTCCCAACATCTCCTGGGCGAGAATAATGTTTATTCACATTAATAATAAGCACATTTCAGCGGCAAAGAAGTGTGCACCTTTATCAAATACAGAGAAAGAAGGAAGCAAATGCACAAATTACTTTCATGAGTATCTACACTGATACAAGTGCATTTGTTCCACATATGTGAGTGTGTGTGTGAGTGTGTCAAGGAGGGTGTTTTCCTGGAGGATCAAGGAATGTTAGCTGGGGGCCGCCAGGCTCTGGAGGGAAGTGTCGAGGGTAGGATATCTGTGGCTTTTGTCGGGATTTACTCGCACAATAAGGATTTAGTGGGTGACACTTGGGCAGGGTGTGTCTACATCAAAGAGGCTCCTCAGCGTGGAGCAGCAGCAGCAGCAGCAGCAGCGCATCAGGAAACGCTGCTGCTGCTGCTGCTGGGGAGGCAGAGCTGGGAGAAAGTTGGCTTTACTGTTACTGTTTTTGAAAGGGAAGACAAAGTCGAGGCAGTGTGTATGATGAGTGTGTCGGAGCACTGCTGTGTCCATGCAAGTGTGTGTTTTCTGCTGTGTATGTGCAGATGTAAAGTTCTTTATTGTGAGGGTGCAAACACTGGTATGTAGATCCTCCACATGAGGAATAACACAACATGTGTGGGTGCAGACATTCTCTAGCATTTACAACCTTGCCACAATTTACAGAAAATGTAAAGAGTAGAAGAGTAGAAGAGAAAAAATGCTAAATGAAAAATGTGGCTGTCTGCTCAGAATGAAAACTAATAGGACAAACCTCCACAGTCTAATTGCCGACTGTTTCATCATCATCACCCGATAATTTCTACAATAACAATTCATTCTGAATGACATATTCCATTTACATCTTTCTTTTTTCTCATAAACATCCATTTTCATTAGAGAACATTACACTTTACCCTTCAACTGCTTCTGTAATTTATCACACACACACTTTCCTGACTGTCACAGTCAGACGCCATTCAAAAAGTTTTCCCTCTGAAAGCAGTTCCCTTCATGCATACAAAACCCACAGCATTTGGAGCTTTCTTAAAAACCTCCTCTGCATCTTTTTGGTGGGATTGGTACAGTATTTCACACGCGGCCTAATCTCTTTAAGCAGAGTTGTTATCCTAGCCCACGATGAATTGTATCACTACTGTAGCTTGTTGCACCTACAAGCTGTTTTTTAGTGAGCATCTTTGTTGGTTAAAAAGTGAATGTACTACAGTGTTGTGTGTGTGTTTGTTTGCTGGTATTGTCTGGTGTGCTGTACTGACAGCACAGATAAGTCTTTTTTTCCTGAGGCCTAATCCCTCCTCTACACAAGAATAAGAGATGGATGGAGAAAAAGATGAGCGAGAAAGAGAGACATTGGTGTTGAACACAGTGACAAGTCCCTGAGAAAATGTGTGTGTGTGTGTGTGTGTGTGTGTGCTGTGTGCGTCGGTGAAGACAACGCATCGACGAAGGCTTTCAGGAGGGAGTGAGAGCGGGATTTGCATGTGAACAAGGGCTTTAACGGAGCCGTGAACCGTTAATACGTATTCAGAGAGGTTTTGTAGCGAGCGGCCGGAGTTGTTCAGAAACAGGTGTTCTGCAAATCACAGCAAACACTCTCTCTCCCAAAATATTTTCCTCAGCAGCTCTATTCTCTGTATTCTCTGGCGCCGTTTGCTTTGCCAGCGCTTTCAATAGCAGTTGGGCTCTCGTTCAGGAAACATCCAAAAATGATTTGAAAGCAAGAAAATGACTACATCCACGTTGTTTTTAAATCCCTGTGGACATAATGGACCCTGGTGCACAGAATGAAAGTTTTAAAAAACATAAAATACTGGATTTTAAAGGTTAACGTCAATGAATCTTATTCTATTTTGTAATTATAGATGTGATTGTGTTAAAACGAGGGTTGCAACAAATTTTCTTTTCTTGATTTATCAGTTAGTAGTTTGATCCATAATAACCACCAGATGTTGTTTTCCAAAGCCCAAGGAGATGTCCTGGTCTACTGTCATAGAGGACTAAAGAAAGCAAAAAATATTCACACACAACAAGCTGAAATCAAAGAATCTGGTCTTTTCTTCTGAAAAAATGACAGTGATTAATTGAATAGTCGGATATTAATTTAATAGTTGACAACTAATTGATTTATTGACTCATCGTTGCAACTCTAGATAAAACACAGACATCAACAGTGATATCTGCATATCAGAAAGCTCAGACTTCCATTGCTTTGTGATGCATTTAATATTTTTTTGTTAAATCTTATTATTGTGCCTGAAGACATCATCTCTGTCTGTGTAATTACCCAGAATGTTGAAACAAAGCGGCTGCGGTGGAAAAGTTCAGAGCACTGAATGGCTGGATGTATGAGCTTTCCCGGTGATAAAGGGAGCTTGGCAAATATGGCTGTAAATTGTCAGCTGAACATACCAGTTCAGCTCATTTTCATGAGTCATATTCCCATAGTATATTACAGAGATTTACTGAAAGTCACTTTTGGCGCAGGAGTGCACTCTCATGTGCCGAGGGTCAGCACAGAATGTCATTGTATGCTTTATTTTAAAGCTTCACATTTTATTCACTTTCTCTGGGCTTGTTTGGTAATAATTTGTCCTCGCACATAATTGCAGGCAAGCAGAGTGTCCAGTGTGTGTCCAGGATGTCCACTGCACTGACTCCAAGTAAAACGGTTCATATTGGATACAGTGTTCTAATCCTCTCCTTTAGGAAGGGAGTCTGCAGTGTGGAGTCCCAGTGTTCACTTAGGCGCTGTTAAGGAGATCATCCGTACCACTTTGTTCATTTCCGTTTTATTAGTTTATTGAAGGTCAGTTGACAACATAAAATGTGCTTCAATTTACGGTCAGTTTCAAGGCATGTTTTCAGATACTTTACATTTACTGCAGTCATATTTCAAGTTTTTGAGTTTTGATAATGTAACTTGATTAAATGCAGGTCACTAACAAAAGAAGAAGCATTACTGTCAATGATCTATCATGATCCAACTTGGGATGTACTGTATATGCATCCCATTTTCTTCTTCTGTTTGAGCAAGTTATTTTTACAGAATAATACCAAGAGAATAATTCCAGCATTGCCTAAAGCCATGCAGTGTAATAAATCATGAGCAAAATGGCTGGCGTTTGATTAAGTCTGTCTACATAGCCTTTGGCCATGTTACTCACATTAATAACATTCCTGATTTTAATTCATGTCTGTCGTTTTTGTTGTTTAAATGTCTGGCTTTTATTTATTAATACTTTATTGAATCTAAAGAGTTGTGGAAGGCTGTGATACTAGTATTTTATTATACCCAACTAGTCTTTGTACTTATTTTCTGGTGATACATGTGTGGCTCATAATTTCAAAGGAATTTAGCTCTTCCTATTCATATGCAAACTTCATCAGAGTGGTTTATTTTAGACATTGTTTTATGGTATCGACTGAAACATGTCTGCAGCACACAGTAAATAAACTGTCAAGTAGAAAGTTGGCATCAAATGTCTGTTTTATCATCTTGTTATGTTACTTTTTAATCAGATAGTTCCTGGTTTAAATCATAATTTTGCAAAATTTTGATTTTTTTATTTAGACAAAATAATGAATTAAAATAAAATATAGTTAAATTAAAAGAAGGGCTTTGTAGAAAAACTATTCCTCAAAGTATGGTATTGAAAAACTATTATTATTACCGTCACACTAACTCACTTAATGATTATGATCATGAGTGTGAAATTGTTTGCACAAGTAAAAATATGTTAGATAATTGTATCGA